GAAAGGCGATCCCTGTAGTCATTGTTAACACAATATAACACCACATTCCCACCTAAATGCCCAGACGAATGGCGCGTCGAGGGTGAAGCGATCGGTTTCAGTGTTCTAAAATCCGTATCCGTGAATCACGCTGGGGTGGACATTTATCAACGGCTGGGAGGGAGGCCTACAATAAGACACACAATGGATGAACGGTCCAGGGCAAAATCGAGCGACAAAAAGTGAGAGAGTCTTGAAAAGAAGGTGAAAGAACCTTTGACCATTACTCAAAAGACCCATCTGCCTGCAGTCCCAAAATGTTTTGCTTGTAGTCATTAATCAACTCCTTGTTCTTGTTTTTGACCAAATAGCCTCGAGGGAAAATTACGTACAGGGGCGATTCTAACATCTGTTGTAACAATAAATGCTAATATTGTGGACCGTTCGGTTGAATATGTGTCTGAGGAGGTGTTAGATCCTGGTTAGGGTGTTACATCCTCCCAGTTTTACACAGCGACCCCAATCAAGGCTGGAGCACGAAAGATAGGGAAGGTGAAAATATCACTAAGCATCTATGCAGATACTGATGTTATCTCATAGATGCATTATGTCCACACCTGATGCATTTTTACCATCCGAAAAGCAAACGCGTTGTTTATCGACCGTGCACAAATTTAGGGGACCTTAATATATACCCGTATTTATGGATGGAGGAATTTACGTAATTATTTTTTTTCCCGAACACCTGGTGTTGTCACTCTGATCTGTTTCGTCGGATAGGTTAATATGTTGCGATGACGTTAGATATTCACATACTAAATGCGTGATATTGGTATTTTAGTCATTTGGTTGATGTTCTTCAATTATTTAATAGGGCGGTGGGGTAGCCTAGTGGTTAAAGCGTTCGCTCGTCACGCCGAAGACCTGGGTTCGATTCCCCACATGGGCACAATTTGTGAAGCCCATTTCTGGTCACTCACTCACTCAATTATTTAATGTGTAAGCCATCCAAACGTGTGCCGTCACTTAAACGCTGTTACTATATCTAGGCGTGCCCTGCTCATGTAACACAGAGAGGAGGGGAGAGTAAGAACAGAGAGACAAGCAGAAAAATTATTTCATTTGTGTATCACCGCTGCGTATCTTAAGTGAATATATATAGAGACATAAGACCTGGGGCAGCAAGAATGCGATGCAGCGCCACTCATATTAAGCGGTCTGTGACAAAAAAAGACACAGGGGGGCGCCAAGCTGAATGCAAGGGCCCTTATGGATGGCTCATATATATTTTATGCTGCTTGTACATTGTATATTTTATTGTAATATACTCATGCCAATAATGGTTGTCAACCCCCTCCCCACCCAACCCACACCACACACTCATTCCCCACCCCTCTCCAATTAAAAAATTGAAGGGGTGACAACCATTATTGGCATGAGTATATGTGAGGTGAGACTGAAATAAACCATCATTCTGTCTATCTGGGTAAGGGGTGGGAGGGAGGGGAGGTGCGTAGGGCGAGAGGATGAAAAAAATGACACAGTTGTATTAAGGTCAGTGTTTTGGAAAAGCGCTGGGTTTAAGGATAGGGGAGATGAGCAAAATACTATACTGGCTTAAACCAATTTATATATAAAACCACACGCCACCCACCAGCCTCCTTCATGAATGACTAGTGCCCAAATCTGACCGAAATCATACAGTAACTGCATTTGTAGAGAATCTCCTGTACACAATGCAAGTATGTGTGTCTTGTTCTCAAAACCAAAGCACCCGTTTCCCGGAGCATACTAAAACCCGGATTAAATCTGTACAAAACGGTTGGTTTACTTGTCAAACAATTCCACAACACATGACGGTCAATATTGGTGTTACGTCCCGATAGAGGACCAATTTCCAGTGAAAAGCGCTTTTGATCGCTCCTATTATCGTTAAAAGCTATAATCTAAACACGTTGTAAGTCGGTGTCCAAATATCCTCAACCAGAGCACATTAACGGGGAATATTAACTGGAAACAAGCTGAGAATGATGAGCAGTCACAAAAGGGTGCTAATCTATGACAAACAGCCAGAGGGACTCTGACGCCCCGTTCATCTACCTAGCGATAACGTTTGTAGCGGGCAAGGCAATTAACACTTGCGTATGTTTTATAAAACAATATAATCCCGTCTACGTTGATATGATTAGCTTTAATATATTACATAGTATACCCGTTCTGTCGCGTTTTCATATGCAGATAGTGTTTTGTATACAACTGTTAGGGGTTTTCATTTGTATTAGGAATATATGGCCATTTGAGAGGGGGCGGGGCTATGTCACCGAGGGTCGGCGTAGACAGTGATCAACATAATCAATATCACACCGATGCACAGACTGAAATGAACATGCCTTATGAACTGAAAAACCCGAGGTATGAAAAATCGATCCCCTTCTCAGAAGCCTATCAAATGTATCAAGATGCAATGGACAATGCCTTATTTTCATACCAACATGTTTCTGATTCATAAAACTTTCGAAATGACTTCTCTTTTTATCCATCATTGTATAGTTAATAAAAATCGTCAATTTATTCTCCAAGATGAAGCAATGACAGTCAGTTTTACTCGCTGTGTCTGTCACACAAACCTGTTACCTGAGACGTCGGCGAGCACGGGTCCCTCATAATTCCAAAACACAAAGCAGCTCAAAGAATGAATAGGGGTCAGGTAAAATTGGGTCCCAAAAGGTACGTCGTCCAAATCACGACACCGGCGGTAATTAAACAACGCTTAAGGGAAACAGGTGGTTTGTTTGTCAATATTTATACCAGAAATCAAATTGACTAACTGAGGGTACATAGAAAGCCTGGAAATAATATTACGTATTGTTACACCATGCCTGCCGGCACATTGTAAAGAAAGCTATATGTCATTGTCAGCGACACGGTGTGCTAAATGATTAAAATAAACAAATCTTGCGACTGGGCTTATAAATGTTAATGATTTTCGAGAGGATTTGCCTTACTATCGGGTGACCCTATACATGTATTACAGATACCTTGAAGGAGCAATTCATTATATATATATAAATATAACAGAGCATAGAGGCTCAGATAGTTTCGAAAACGTATTCATCTGTTGTATAAGTAAGCATAAGTAGTCTCTGATAGCTTATTATCTGAGTTTAAATTCCTTTTTTGATCTGATTGCAAATAATAGTTACACAAATCTGTTGTTTATTTTACTTCCACACATCCTAGTATTTGAAATCCAACACTAGTGCCTATGAGACTTCTTGGCAGCATGTCAAGAGATTCTAAAACTTGTGTAATGTACTCACATTATATAAAATAGACTAGAAAATAGAAAATAATAGAAACACAAGTCTCCAATTTACTATAGTGATGACACCAGCTGTTCTCCAAAAAGGGGGGCGGTGGGGTAGCCTAGTGGTTAAAGCGTTGGCTCGTCACGCCGAAGGCCCGGGTTCGATTCCCCACATGGGCACAATGTGTTAAGCCCATTTCTGGTGTCCCCCGCCGTGATATTGCTGGAATATTGCTAAAAGCGGCGTAAAACTAAAACTCAGTCAGTCAGTCAGTCTCCAAAAAGGTTAGTGTATCAGACTCACCGGTGGCAGTGACCCAAAACACATGCAAAGGCTTGTCAATTGTTCTGGAAAACACAGTGACATTTTACAAGTTGAAACGGAGCGGACGGAATGAAGCTATAATCAGTAAGAACAGTAGCCATGGATTACAGGAAATTTAATCCCAAGCAGTCTACTCTGGCATAAAACAGCTAATGATAGGCACTAGATGCCATCTTATCCGGACATCGTGAAATGGTGTTTAAATCGTTGTTCGACGTTAAACAACAAGCAAAAAAGCCAAAACAACATCATACATGTTCCTTTAGGCTATATATATATATATTTGCTTGATCATACTGTAAGCTTGTCGTGGTCCACATTTGATGTAAATAATAACATGCCTGGCTCTGCCATCGTATGTGGACTTCATAATACACATTGATAGGCGTGTAGGTTTAAAATATGTTTCCACATGTTTTTCAATAATCCCTCACCCGAGTCTGATATAACATAGTCATGTTATAACTTCCCTCGCTGTTGGAGACACGTTTATGAACAAAACATTACTTAAGTCACTGTCTGTATACCCCAGTTTGGGTTCCGGGTTTGGTTTCCATCAACCAACGCACGTTAACGTTGTTAGAGAATACTTCATGGTTAGAAGGGGCAGCCTAATGGTTAAAGCGTCCGCCCGTCACGCTGAGCACCCGGGTTCAATTCCCCACATGGGTACAATGTGTGAAGCCCATTTCTGGTGTCCCCCGCCGGAATATTGCTAAAAGGGGCGTAAAACCATACTCACTCACTCATGGTGGTCAGACTCGTGGTGGTGGTGACTTGGCTGACTTCGTGTGATGATATCAGTCACTTGATTGTCTGGTTCAGATTCGATTCTTTGCAGGTTGTCAGCCATATAGGTGGAATATTGAGGAACGCAGCTTTCAACAACAAATAAACAGTCATAAGATCCGATGTTGTTGCAGGCTGATCAGATAAAAACGTATGTTAAAATGTCAAAACGTGTTATAGAAGGGTGGGGAGGTGAAATTCTGATTAATGTAGCGTGGTTCTGTGTGTGTGTGTGTGTGGGGGGGGGGGTGCGCGTGCGTGCGTGTGTTTGCATGCGTGCGTGTATGTGTGTGAGGTGAGAGGCTGGGGGGATTAAGGCCAGCCCACTGTGGTACCATTCCACAGTTTTCCATGGACACCCGATACTAACCAAGCTGACCATTTGTGTATATTATTGTCCATTCCATGCCAAACCCAAGGCAGTGTAAGAACACACTACCATCAATTAACGCCGTTCAATCTGACGCAGCCGGGCTCGAACCGGGACCTTCTGCACTCAGGACAGTTGCACTACCCACTGTACCAAGGTGGCAAGCAATATGTTACTTGTACATACTCTAATCCGTAAAACGATTCAGTTGTAATAGAAACAAAAGGAAATTCTTGTTATTCGAGACATTTTATTCATATTTCATATGAATGCTGACAGTAAGCAAATTTGACATGATATATACATGTGTATTCTATACATAGCACTGCATCACAACGCTTCATTCATTTTGACATTGGAAGATCAATCAAATTTCAACAACAAAACGGACATGGTGGATACAAAAATAGTATTCTTATATACAATCCATAGACAACTGATATGGCACCACTCACTCAAACAACACAAAGATGGTCGGTTACTGCGGCTTGACAATGGAGCCTGGCATGAATCCTACAGAAAACATCATTTTCATAATTCATAATTCATTTTCATAATTTTCGATGTGTTTGACTTCATTGGACGTTATTCCACCAACGTCTGAAATCGATAAATGGCAAGCCTTAACATCAGTGCTATAACAGCTAAACAGAGGTATCGCCCGTCACTGAGATATTGTCTGTATATGTTAAGTGAGGAGAGACATACACGCCGATAGCATCCTCATCCATTTCGTAAATTACACCACAACAGTAGAAACAACGCACACTTCAACTACTTAGCCAAGATCGAGCATCATTAAAAGATGGTGATGGGGTATTCAAGTATTTAACTAATTACTTCCTCATATTGATTTCATAGGGGGAAAAAACAGTCCATTTATTTTAAAAAAACATTATCTGAAACATTAACTCCGTACTTGGTTTTTATTTTCTATGTAAAAATATCTATAGTATTTTGCATCTAAATGTTTCTCTTAACTCACACACAATGATAGGTTTCATACCATTGTCTCTATTTCGTTACATGTGAAATACAGAATACTTCATGCAATTCTGTTCAGTGATTGAGATCCAATTTGATTCACATTGTTAAAAAGGCTCTACCAAAAATAACAATGTAAAAACTTTCAACGGTTGAAATTTTGTTTGATACACGTCACTTTGATTAATGCTTGTTGCGCTGTACTTCCCGTTCAATCATTTCATCTAAGTTTTTTTTCTTCAGAATCGCGAGATTCTTTATCAATAACAATGGGAATAATATCCTACTGAAACACTATTTGAATATTAAAAACATAATTGATTATGTATGATAACACTAACTGTGTTGGGCCTTGTGTGTAGACTGTATTGAGTTTGAAATTTGTATAAAAAAATTAATTACAATCTACATTCGCTGGAGAGAAAAACTAGGTGAGCATTGTCAGAGCACGCATTGTATGTTATGATAGAGATATCGTTGACCTTTCATCGGTGCGAGGACTTGTGGGCTTTGTGCCTTATATTTCATATAGGCGTGTCATTTGAAATCGATATCAACGTTTACTCTGCCCAGATGTTGCAACCCATGCACACAATAATCATTTATGAACCCGGATAAATGTTCACTCAATGTGATAAATCACTAGACTTCTAACATGTGTCTTTAATGAGCCCGCAATTACCTGCGTTTATTGAAGGAATTTTGTTTTACGTTGAACTGTATTGGCAATACATTTCATCATTTTAATGTATGTGTCAGGTAGAATTTGGATGCTGGAAAATCGAATATGATTAATGATTCCTTATTCAAGTAACAGTAGCTCATGGTGATTAGTGGGACGAGAAACATACCTACAAGTGGTGCCATGGTACTCGAAAGCAGATGGCGCCTTGGAGAAATCACTAGCATATTTAATCTATGTAACGATCGGGATTTGCATTAAGGAACTACAAAGAATGCTATTATATTTTCATGAGGTAAATCTGAGCGTACATCAGGGCTCAGCATACACGGATTGTTAATTTCATGATATGTTTGATTTTTCGCGATGCTATGTACATACGTCATGGGCAGTCAATTTAAACAAATGTAGACAAGGTCATTTAAACGTCATGATATTTGCAACTGACGTCAGTACCAGACAGCTGCTAGTTTCCATGGTAACTTATACAACAATTAATAATTAAATAATTAAGTATACTTATTTTTTTTTAATGTTTCAGTAATATATCTACTGTAAAAAAAACTCAATCAGATTCGGGATATATATCAAGCTAATATATCAGAGCAATGGACGTGAACAAAATGATATTCCTAAAACACTGAACTCTCTAACGTCATTAAATTTCACACTAACGTCACTTAAAAGCACGAATGCCTTATCAATAATATGTTAAATACCAAATGTCACTGTCGTATTTTCGTTCAACCAAATAACGCCGTAAAAAAGATAAGAAATAAATTCAGGCTGTTGGTTAATGAATCAGTTTCACCAACCTTACCACAATTGTGATATACCCCATGTCTAAATATACATGCATTGCACACCAAGTAATAAACTACGTGTAGATATTGTAAACGTCCTAACCCAGATAGTGTATGCAATATTGCATTGATCATAATCAATATGTTAACATTATGACCTCTCACCGTGTGTATTAGTTATGTAAGCACAGCTTTGCATATATTTTGGTGGATTTCGTTATAAAGCCAGCATGTTTAGAGCCAACGTGGCTGTATAAAGGGGTTTGCTGCACAGTTAACAAAATACGGTGCGTTTGAAAAGTATACGTGTTGTATATAATTAATTCATCAAGGGATCTGATTCAGTGTTTGATAGGGTTATCCTTGGTGCCATTAGCATACATACGATAATTCGATAATGGTATCAATGTTTGATTATAATGAAATGTATTATATCTATATTATGGTCAAATAATGTATATCTCACTAATAGCGAGACTCTAAGTATGAATACTGTAATAAATAAGGTATGTATTTACTATATACACCCTAATAGATTGTCTCAAATGGTTCACAGTTCACATTGTCATCTAGCACTATTTGGCCCATTTTGTGCCACTCGCCCATTTCCGTAACCACGAGGAAGACCCGGAATGGCACGAGTGGTCACGGAAGTGTTCGGAATCGTTGATGAGCCGGCAAGGGGAGTGAGCCCTCGCTGTTTTAACACAGATATGGCGCTGTGATATATGTCATCAATTGTTATCACGACACGTTAATTTCTTCATCTGAATCAACGTCCGAAATGTTCAAATCTTTGACAGTGTCCATTTCATTTGGGGATGCAGGATTGCTGGAAATGTGACTTTCAGTGGGGGAAGGTGAATGTCTTTCCTCGTCCCCTCTCTCTTCAATAGACTCTTCCTCTTTCACGTCACTGAGATCAGGGTTTGGATTGTTTTTATTCGGCAAAGTAGATTCGCGAGTTCCTCCCGAAGAAAGCAGCTCTCTTTCCTTAGAATTGCGCCATTTCATGCGTCGATTTTGAAACCAGATTTTAACCTGAAACAGACAAGGAAATATGAACACATTGCAATGTATTTATTATTAAAAACATTTTTTTAATTTATAATTAATATATACACATGTGTACATTGCACGTTCCAATGCATGAATAAAATCAACCAATGTCATTTTATGACGGGTGATATCTGGTGTAATGTTGCAATTATTGAGTCAAATGAAATAATGTTCCAAATTAAAACAACTATTGCTAACTACTGTACCTATTCATGTTGCCACTGTCGCACAGATGTTCCCGTCACCTGAGTGGGGATTTCAAATATAGGAAGCAATATGCTGTCTGTATATTGTTAAATTGCAATAGAAAATGAAATATTAGCAATAAATGAGATTTTATTACATGTGATGGTGTATCGTTTATCACACCCCAGCTTCCTCTAATTGAATTTACCTGAACACATGACAATATTGAATCCGCGCACACTAATTCAATTTATTCATAAACCAAACAGATTTTTATAGTGGAGAAAGAATTTGTAAAGGGGGGTAACTGTACACCACCAGTGGTGAGTGTATCATATGGCGTTATTATTTCTTATTGGAGATCACGAGGAGCAATAAAATCAAAACACAATACTTTAATCAAATGTATTGTGTATGCTTGCTTGAACCGTTCCAATATGACCACGCAAAATATTTTTTATTTGATTCTAACGAAATAAAAACGATCGTATTTCTTGCTCTCCAAGCTATGATCATTGGACCATCGAACCAATGTGGTTCTTAATTAATTTCCGTGTCGACTTATATACAGTTATACGAAAGCGAATCCTTCCTTTTCAAAAAGTACTGTTACAGTCAAACGCGTAGAAGCAAGATGGATACCCTAATGAGGTTTTGTCACAATAAAAGCAACACAAACGTGTATTAAACACTCGGTTAATGAATTATCGCGGAGGTTCACAGCCAAGATATATATTTCAAAAGTTCATTAATGGAATTCATGGTCATATCTGACCGCACTACGGATTATTAAGCTGTCAATCAAACCCACGTTGTTGATTTGTAATTAAGCTAATATTCTAACATCAGAGATGAGCTTTTACTGTCGAGGAGAAAGGGAACGCAAGATTGTGCACGCATATTATTGTTTTATTCGGCTTGGCATACCAATTGTTTTCTCCCAATAACCGCACCATTTGCTTCTGGTTTGGAAAATTGCTAATTTTGCAAGCTAACTGTAGTCACGATTACCAGCTGTAAATGTACTTAACAGTGTGAAGCAAATTTGATTTGAAAAGATCGATATCAACGATGCTGCCTGTGAATATCCTCGTGTCCAATGGAGTATGTGTTTCTTTCAAGATGTAAGGAGACTGTGTCTAGTTCAAAGAACATCTATTTACCCAAATAGGCAATTTATTTCATGGTTGTTAGGTTATGGTTCTTATGGGGACAATTGGGCTGGCAATTCAGATAGATCACAGGTAATTCGTGATACAGATATATTTCATCATTTCGGAAACAACCGGGCTGTTTGTGAGGGGACCGTGTTCCGAAGTAGCCATACCAAGGAGCCAAATATTTGGGGGATATTTTTCAGAACTTAGATACATACTGTAAATAATGGGATAGTGACTTTTGGGGGGATATCTTTTGTACAGAAGACTGATTACAATATCATTTAATCAATCTGAAAGAAATAAACATTAAATCTTGGTTTTCTTTTTCTGTATGTATCTGGTGTATGACTTTGAGTCTAAACATTCGGGACTTTCTATATTTTCAGCAATTTCAAGAACAGAAAATTTTTACATGTGAAATATTACAAATATTACTTTGATGTTAGAGTATCTTACCTGAGAATCTTTAAGACCGAGTTTTGTCGCAAGCTTCTTCCTGTCGGGTTTGCTGATGTATTTTTGCTTCTGGAACATCCTCTCGAGTCCCTTCCTCTGGGCGTCTGAGAAAACTGCCCTCCTTAACATCCCCCTTCGGGGCTTCCCCCGTATGTTGGTGAGGAACGTCAGGGCGTGTGGGGACATCGGCAGTAGGTGTGGGGCTGCGGAGATACAGGGCCACAGTCAAAATCGGAGTAGAAACATATTATTGTCTGAGTCAATGACTCACTAACGCGTCTCTCTCCATATACACGCAGTGTCACGTGTATTGTACATGTAAAACAAATAATGTTTACATTGTAAAGGTCAAAATACTATTTATACTAATATCTCAACAATTATCCGTTATGTAAATACATCCGACCATGCATACACAGGTTTGATGGTCGATGGATTAAACAGCAACTCTTTCACATTCTCTTCTGTAAACATCCAGTAACAAACGTATGTTAATATTTTATATTGTTACAGCTTTTATTGCTGTGGTTAGTGTATGTTATGGGAATGCTAATAAAGTGTAGTTTGCTCTCGTAATTCTATGTAAAGTGAAATATCGTATAACTTTGCAGTGTACTACTATGGTTCAAGCACAAGTACCCTTGCGTCGGCTTTGAAAAAGGTGTACAGAATCTTGATCTTTCAGAGAAGCATCTCAGAAAATTTAAATATATAGGCCATTTGTGTGCTATGATCTATTAACGTTAAACTATATTGATATTGTTACGAAACAATTCATCATTATCATCATCATCGTAGTCGTCGTTATCTTCATTTTACTGTTATTGTTACTGCTCTTCTTATATGAATATTACCTTTAATAACACTGCAGTCGGTATCACTGTTATTGTTATTATCATAATGATAACATCATAGTTATCAAGGCACTGGTGCTTTTGCGAACACCTGCTGTCATTTATTTTCAGTGATCCATTTATATTTTTTAAAGTTTAACGAGAACCAGAAACGTTTTCGTGGGATAATCTAGACTAGCTATTCGTTGATGTTTGCTATTTTTATTTATTTATTTCTCTCTCAAGTTGCATCCTCTCTCTCTCTCTCTGTGTTTGTGTGTGTTTATAATGTTTCCGATACAGCCCTGTCACTATAGTAGTAGCATCTTCATCACCACATGTACCTAATAAGCATTGTTATACTTTATATGCATACATATGAATAATCATTATAATCACTACCGTTATGATTATTATCATTTTTTTCTACATTTTCTCACCCTTGCTAATATTATCACCGTCGCCTTTATCACTTTCATTATATTGTGAAGACGATTGTGTTTGTTTTCGTGACAGCGTCCGTGAGTATTACCCACACCATAACACCAGCTATCAGATGATACACATTGTTTAAAAATCCGTGACAGACGCTGATGTCAATCTGTCCATCCAAACCGCTCAGCGATGCATACACCTCGAACAGGTGCTCGATATAGCTGCTCGAGTTTCAAATATCACACATTCTTCTCTGGTGGTTGAAACATTACCAACAGCAGGGGGGGAGATGGTTCTGAATATTAAATACATACCTACAAGATTTGATTGAACTGATCGAATTTTTGTCAAAAGTAATCAGCAACACCTTGCAGCAAGCATCTTGGTAGGCAATTACACTTCGCAGTGGAAACCAACGCGCCGTTAAACCGTAATCGCTTTACTATTAACCGAGGTTTAATTTGCCGTATTTATACAAAAATTAGGTATTCCGTTCGGCTTTGGTTTGTAATCAATCGGGGTTGAATATGATTCGAAGGATGAAGACCTTTGTTCCGGAGACCGGTGGCTAATTACAGGTTCAGCAACATCCCGTCACGGCGTTTTGGGCCGCATAATGTTTACAAATTGCCAGGAAATGGACCAAAGACTACTTTTAATAATCATTTATATTCTAATTCATTTATGCTTTTGTGAAACTAAACACCGCCTTGGGTTTGATATGACATACCTGTTCTTGCAAACTTCAAAAACTACACGCCACATTTGTTTCAACGAAGTAGAAATCAAAAAGAACAACCCGATTAACTTTCTATGGCCTGTCTCCAGGAAATATATTACCCCATTTGTATAATGATATTATCATCTTAACCTCACACTCTCAAGATTATTAAGTGAGGTCCTTTCAAAATAGATTCCAAATGTCCAACGTGGAAATGAACACTAAATTGGATTTCTTTAAGTTATGGAAATTTAGGTTATTGAACATTAAATAAAACAGTTATGCCATAGATTAAAATTGGTACTGAGACTATCGACGAACGTGCCTGTCCTCCTTTCAAACACAAATGTGTACACAGTCAATCAAACATATCATTTTGGTTCAAACTTCGGTGTCACTAAATCCACAACCTTTCTCACGAGTGCTGTTGTAATTAGAAGAAAATAATTACCTGAGAGAACTTGTATCCTTGCTAGTCCTTAATAGCCTCTTTTGTGTGAAATCTTATATCAAAGTAGTCTTTATTTCACGACCCAAACTGATGTGATGTAAAATTAGCACCTATCGGGTTCAACTTGACATTGGCCCTGAATTTGTGACCGGATAGGCCGAAAAAGTCCTTTTTGATAGCCGTGGCTATAAAAACTCCAGCTATACAAGTCAAATGAAATTATTCGATTCCAGGTACAATAAAGAGAAATTTAAACGGATATCTTAGCCTGGTAGGAGGGGGTATAAAATAAGTTTTAATTGGTTTTTGTGTGACGGAAGCCATATTGGATGTACAGAGAGGGAGCGATGTTAAGAAGTATCCTCCCCTTTCCTGACAACGCCAGGATAGGAGGAGATTTAGGGCCGACCCGCTTGCTTCATTAAGAGTAGATCAGTTTGGAAATGGTATCGGGTTTTAATGAGGTATTTGAGAAGATGAAAGGGGTATTTAGTTCAGGTGGGGTGTTCGTCCGGTTCGTGCTTAAAACTTTAACTAAACAACAGTTTTAATAGTGTGCGTTTTTTTAAAGCGATTTGACATTTTGGTTTGTGTTCGGGATCTTTTACAAAGGCTCAACAGACCGGGTTCAAGCATGTTACACTACACTCGGTTACCTCTCAGCATCTTATGTACTCGACAACGTATCGGATATAAGAGCTCCAACAGTAAATCCTCAAAACAAGATATATAGAGAAATGCATCTATATTTTACTTGATACTTTTGCCACCCCCCTCAGATAACAGAACAAATATTATTCTATTTATCCCTTTATACTCCATATATCAAAACTTTACCCAATTGACTTTACATATCAGCTCCGCCAAATATGAAATTGTTTTAATGCTGGATACGTTCCAAGGTGAGACCGATTTAAAAAAAAATTCTTGATAAGTATTTTAATATTTTACATTTGGACTCTTTGATAAAAGTTTCGGCCCACAAGACCACACTCGTCGAAAACACACCTCGTCTTTCGATGTGACCGCCAATCTATTCATATTTCGTTTTATGTCAATTTCACCTTTCATTATTCAGGATCAAATTACAGCTGACGTTCACTTTTCTTGAACATTTCGCGTTGTCAATGTCACCACAAGCAAAAGCAAGCGGCGAGATGTTTGAACACATCAATCATAATCGTACATCGCCTTTACAAGCTGCTAAGTTTATTTGTTTAATGACCGAAGATTAAACACTTTAAATACCCTCACATGTTGATGGGGGATGTGAGCGGAAACGTCTTGTAGGCTTTGAAGAGAGGGATTAATTCATCAAATTATCAGACAAGTCACGTGACCCTACGTGACCCTTTAACAATGAGTTGTTTGTCCATAGTTGTAATGAGTACACAACCAACTTGGAGACTTCTCCTGAAGCATAGCTGAATACACACTGCCGCCACCATGTGATTGTTTTACATATATTGCCCATAGATATAGATAAGTTTTTGTTTACATTCTGATGATTTGTTTGTATATTTGGTGAATAATTACCTCATTCATGAGACTAATCTATTCAATACTTTATGAGTATTTAGTTTATTCATACGCTTAGTATATCCTTTGATACACACAGAGAATAGCATCTGTAAAATAATTATATCCTTTTTAATTGATTTATAAAGCAAAATTCGTATAAAACACAAATGTTCTTAATGAACGATTCCTCCCAACAATAAAACCCCGCCTTAGATTAATGATGCATTCATTTAATTTCTACTTAAGTCAGTTAGTCTTATTGGTATCAATTATTGTGTTAATGAGTATATTATTACCTATTATATGCTACATTGTCATCCTTTAATGAATCATATGAACAACGATATCAAGGTAGGTTGATATATAACAGCGCCACGTGTTACAGATGAAATTAATGTCCTGGCTAAACTGCATGCATCTATTTTTAATCAGTTTTAGTGCATCTTGAATGTTCTTAATAAAGGCTATTAAATTAATGGTACCGTGCCCTTCATTGCCGGTGGACGAAATTCGATAAAAATGTATGAAATATATAATCATTTCTAAACTGGACAACGACAAAAACATTGTTTTGCAACACCACGGATCTTTGTAAATATTACATCCTTTGTGAACAGGTGTATGATCGGGTAACAGGCGTGATGGTTTGAAATTACAGCTCAGCTGTGTCATCTACCAACTGTGATATCATCAAAAAAAACAATGATTCATGAATTTTCAAATGATACATATTCGAAAAAGTTAATTAGTATTGAGATGATCTAAGAAATCATCCGATACTGTTTCATACATTATAATAGCAACGCCTCATAAAAATTGGTTTTCCTGAGATGAAAGAAATATTATCTTATGTAACTCTCCGACCGAAAGTTTTGATCAATACAATATCTACAAGAAAGCCCCGTTAGTGCCACATGGCCTGGGGTAACAAGGTCGTCCATCACGATGGTTTGTTAGTTGCAGACCTTAGGAAACGGTGAGTGTGCGTGTGTGTGTGTGTGAGAGAGAGAGAGAGAGAGTGAGGTGTGAGGTGAGGGAGGGGGGTGTGTTTAGAGGAGGGAGAAAAACCAGTAAACTTGTGATGATCTGGGCCAAACACAGCATATTAAATATTTATATCGCAGTGGGAATGGCTTCCTTTGACAAGAACCCGCTTATGATATTGCATGCTTCGATTTTAGAAAACAAAATATTCAGGTGTAAAAGGCTGGATGGTCGGGATTTGTTTCACGGAAAGTAACTCCCCAAACAAATATATGACCTCTAACATATGAACACCTGCCTCACAACCATGAAGCTATCATTTTGAAGCGATAATATGCGTTCTGTAAGTCTTAAATTACCCATTCGTTTCAATAGTCTCGTAACTTCCCAGCATCCACAACCCAGCCTTCTTGTATGTGTGTGTGTGTGCGTGCGTGCGTGCGAGAGAGAGAGAGTGTGTGTGTGTGTATGTGTGTGTGAAGGCACGTGTATGATTGCGGGTATTAGTCTGCTGGGGGAGGTGGTACGGTGTAGGAATGACTTTGGATGTATCGGGGCGAAGGATGCACATTGGAGAATAAAGCTTACCCGCGAGGTACGGAGGCCTGAGCATCCCTGTGAGCTGGGTATCGTATAAGGACCCGTGTCTGGGATTACAGGAGGGACACGACAGCCCTTGAGGAGACAAGCCACAGGACTTGTGACAGTGGGTTGTGATCAGGGGGGTGAAGCGTGGGGGCAAAGCTTGTGAACGCTCCGCCAGCACTTCCGATGTGCGTGACTGAAAAACAAACAAAATTCAATGACCAACGAGAAATTAATTTGGCGTAGGTACAACGTTCCAGATATATAAGTACAATTCACAGAATAAATTTCTGTAATATGATGGTGGTAGTATATCAGGCCCCGATTTCTCGAAACAAACTTAAGTTTTTACTCAAATTTCAAACTGAGTTTGACAATTTGAAACAGCTGCATTTTTAACTCAACTGCATTTTTTACTAAAAAAAGCCCAAACAACTTAAGTAATCTATCCACCAAACTCAAATTGTCTGCTAAGTTTGAGTTTAATATTGATTTCAGTTTATTCTGGGAAATGCATCTTCCTGCGTTTTCTCAAATTTGAGTCAAAACTCAGACTTAAGTCAAAACTCAGACTTAAGTTTGTTTCGAGAAATCGGGGCCAGATGTTTGAAATGTGGTTCTGCAGTAACACGTGCACCCCAGGTATTGATAAGTTAGGTGCTCATGATTGTATGTATCTCTAATTACGTCGCATCTAACTTAGTTTATATAAATTGCTTATCGAATCAAACCCAACATCAAGCTGCGCGTTAGCATGACTAACTTTAATAAAATGATAAATACCGTTTATGAAGGTAGGATATTCAATTTGAAATCTACCAGATCGCCGTATAGATTTTACCGTTTCATTACCTGTATCAATGAGAGGAGAATGTTTACACTTTGAGAATTCATTATCCAACACAAAAAATGTATTATTCTCCTTCCAAGGACAGACAGTTCTTTTCCGTGTACAGTTAATGATTCATTACAGAAGACATCAATATATCAACAGCTGATGCATCACGTGGCTTGATGTTCATTTAGATAAATTAACCGTTAACATCTATGACTGTAACATTCACGACCGCTACACAATAACGCTGTTGTTTTCATAGGCCGTACGTCACTAAAATCTATTACACATATTCACCGGCTAAACACTTTGTATTCAGTTGTAAATTATATACTGTTAGGTGTATGATTAGCTGTCCAATGGCAATCTCCCTGACAGAAAAAAACGCACCACGCATTGATTACATCATAAAGATATTCCACATGAAAATGCATATGTTTAACACTACGTCATATTGCCTCACCTGCTAACCTGATTAAAATCTATTGGAAACGCACCACTCCCCACTAACAAGCGATATATCATACAGAAGTCACAATGAATTTGCACAACAAGAAATAAATGACAGGTACTTCCAATTATAATATCACTACAAAATTGAATTAACATCAGTAACAATCTCTCGTGTATTTTTGTCTGTTTTGTGTGTGCGTTATTAGAAGGTAGCAGAATATAAAACAGGTACTCACGTATATAACATCAATAGAACAGCATGAATCCGTCACATGATATGATCTATTTCACACCTCTCAAATTTACCTTTTTGTTTAAATTATGTTTTAACTGGGTGAATCATTACACATAGAGTCAGTTTTTACAATTTGAAATTATATTGGAAAAGACATATATTGGCTTTATATTTCAGGGAGATGTTTATTAAAACAAATGGTTATCTAATTGTAACATTAACAAAGAAAGAAATATGTTGCAGAGATGATGCTCATGAAGTTCAGTTGAGGCTTTTTAACTGCTATTTATGATTGCTATATTTACCCACTAAATACTATTCATTGTACGTGATGTGATACCATACGTTTATTGGCAATGTGTAGTTACGATGATAGTTTTGACGTGACTTTCGATTTATTATATCACTATGATGTTTAAAGAATGTCGACATTGCATTATGTACTCAAGGTTGAATGATATGAAAGTTCCGTTTCCTTTACCAATGCCACCATTAGTGGTGTCATTTATGAGTGTGTATATTTATATATACCATGGGCTGCATTTTTCGTAGTATCTATCATTATACCTTTACCTCCATGGCTGTACACGCTATTTAAATATGCATTAATGAAAAATGGTTAAATTCCATAAGCCGATGAGTGTGAATTTTAAGATTTATCTAATAATATTCTTCACCATCCTTTCACCATAAAAATAATAAATAAATGTCGAAAAACACGGACGAAATGAAATCAAATGACAATGAATTTAACTCAAGTGTTAGTGATGTATGATATCAAGGTATAATTACCGGAATTTGAACTCGGCTTTTGCTGTGACGAATCTGTCCCAAGAATGGCACTGACACCAAATTTGAGATAAGGTGTTGTCCCCGAGGAAGAGGAAGAAGTTGGGATGGGGTCCTGGTCCCTTGTGACATGAACGAATCCTGACCCCACAGACACCGGGGGTGTGGTCGGGGTGGGTCGGGCCAGAAACCCGGAAGAACGCTCCCTCAGTAAGTTCTCGACGAGAAACGATGCTGACGAGGTGGCCACCGATGGATTCGGGTGTAGTAACGCCGGTGCTCGAAATACACTTTGATAGAGAGGCGATGGTGATAAAACATTCGGAAACATAATGTCACAATATTTCCCACTGTCAATCCAGTCCGTTAACTTGGGTATAATGCTATCACAGGCTGCGCGCTTCCTGCTGGTATGGTGCACTGGCTGTCGGGTCAAACGACGGGTTATCTGATTCTATCCGGTCCACTTCAGGCTTTACCAGTTAGAAAATACCCTGTCGATTCCATGTGTATAAAGTTTGACAGAGCTAGTCATCAACCAGTGTGTGAAAGTGGGTACACGCGAGTCGCATGTTTATATGCGGCTTATTGACAAAATAGCGCACGCTGATTGGCCAATTGGCTCAACTATCACCGCCCCTTCTCCTCTATTCATATGTGACTTGCGATCGCTACGCGGAGGAAACACAATGCACAGGCCAGGGGCCACCCTTCTACCCGTCCATATAACCCCTTTAATCGACCGGGACTCGGCTTTAGCCCTGCCTGTTTTTCACGCCATTTCGTTTAATCAGATGCGGAGACTGTTTTAAACCCAGCCCACACTCGTTCGTTGAGCTCGTTGGGAGTTGTTACCGGCGATAGGCACTTGCGCGAACAAATGCGACCGACAAGTAATTCAGTCATAAAATTCAAATATCTGTGACGCTGAATGCATAACTCCGAAAAGTACCCACCTTGGTTTTGCACATCAACGAATTTAGTAAACAGTGAGAGAATGAGATTTATAGACAGATTGCGAATACACGGCGACGATCGCCCGTTCAATTGACAGTGCCGCTTAGACTCGCGTGTCCCTCGTGAGCGATGGAACCGTGGATAACGGTTAATAGGTTGTCAGTTTCAGCTGACAGACCAAAGGTACTCACCGGGAGAAAACTAATGGAGTTTTATGACCGAACATTGTAAGCATAAGAGAAGACGCGCAGGAATCATAACGATGCCTAATTTGTTGTCGAATTGGACGAAGGCACCCCCTCGGTCCGGCATCCGCATAATCGCCCGGGGATAACTGAGATGATCATTGTCGACCATTTCATCATGGTGGGGAATAAAAGAAAATAAATCAGTTATTTAATTGGAATTACTCCTTGTGGATGTATTACTAGCTAACTGTCATAAACACTCACGTTGGAGTGTTCCCAATCGTCTTAAGGGTTCCCCACGGGCAAAAACTGCCATCAAGCTCTTGAAAATAGTTCCAATTGATAATTAAAGTCACGTTGCCTGTGAATAATACATGTTTTCCAATAAGATTATTTTGTATTTTTAACGAAGTTCTATCGTGTGAAAAAGTGCAATGGAAAACATGTTGTTCACGCTTCGAGTCAAATTAAACCACCCTCTGTGTATATATACTCAATAAAATTTTATTGCATTGTTTAAATACAATATTTACAAAGGACTGTTACCATGGACCTTATGCATGTATGAAAACTCAGAATATCGTGTGACAAAATTAAAAAAATCACATTACCCACAATTTGTTTGTTAAGGAGAAAAAGGCAGTTATTGGTTGACACCGGGAATATAATAGTTCAGATAATATCTCATTCATGGCGCTATGGATTATGAAACAAAGCTTGACATGGCGGCCACCTCAACACAACCTCAACACAACCTCAACATAACCCCAGCAGTCGCAGAGGCGTGATCCCAAACACCCGTCATTATTGAACATTACCGTTTATGCATTAAAATCTCGCATCCTCGTGTAATAACTGACAGTTGTAAACATTTCAGCACTGTCACTTTAAGTCCCTGAGTTGTCGAAGAGGGGGCGTTTTATTGTACAACTACCATCGGACAGTCAATGGTGTAGCATCTGGAACGAGGAACGTTTCGGGGATTTTGCAGGAGGCGACGAAATATATTTACTATCACCTTTGAATCCTTTGTCTAGGTTTGATGAAAATTATCAAATTTCACTGAACGAATCCGACAGCGGCCAACTTATAGTATGGAAGGTTTGGGTGATGATTGTGAAAGCACATATAATTAGGGGGTGGGTGGGCGTGAGGAGGTATTTCCATCGATCTGTACGTCATAGTACAAATAAATATATTCAGAGATGATATATTACATGTTCGCATCACTAGTCCAAAACTTACGTCTTATTGATTATATTATATTATATATTATATTATACTATACTATACTATACTACTCTACTCTACTCTACTCTACTCTACTCTACTACTACTACTACTATATTACTATACTATACTATACTATACTATTATATTATATTATATTATATTATATTATATTATATATTATATTATATTATATTATATTATATTATATTATATTATATTATATTATATTATATTATTATATTATATTATATTATATTATATTATATTATATTATATTATATTATATTATAATCAAACCTTTTCATCATGCTATTTTGTCATTGACATATTGTTTCTCTTACTATTTACACACATGCAAATGTTGGTGGAGCCATTTTCATAATGCCGGTAAAAATGAATTTCACGGTTTAATTGATCTAATCCTGAAATTACCAGTTGTTGCACGTCGCAGCTTATTAAAAAACATGAACACTCATATCACGGGCGATCACGATTATGTTTAACAATGACAGCAGTGTTATCCCTATTTATCTCCAGATCAGTTGTTATTGTACTGGTGCTACACATATATATCACGCAATAATTTCTCATATATGTAGATATGAAAGGAATAAATCGGTTTGATAGAACTCGTAAGAGCGAATGAGTTCAGTGTCATGATTAATGCGATGACTGGGAGCTTTGGTCACGCGACCATGTTTTATTGTTTTTTTGTCATTTTTTATTGCTGATACTAGTCCGGCTATAAAATTCAACTCGGCTCTGCACTAGAGCGATGTAAAACGCAAACCACAAAACATGATATTCCGTTACCGACGATAAACCAGAAATCTTCTAATCCCGGCTCAAAGGTTCGGTTTAACGAGGTTTCATTGTTTAAGCTACATGATTGCTCAGCATAGAATGAAGCTATTAATCAACCGATGGCCATTTAGTGATACGAAAACAACTTAATAATTTGACGGATCACAATATCAAATCTATACATTAGTTATTGTTGACAAATGAAGATCCGGGTTAGAATTGATCTTCAGCAACCCTGTGCTTGTCATAACGGACGACTAACGTGATCGGGTGGTCAGGCTCGCTGACTTGGTTGACACATGTCATCGTATACCAATTGGGGCGGTGGGGTATCCTAGTGGTTAAAGCGTTCGCTCGTCACGCCGAAGACCCGGGTTCGATTCCCCACATGGGTACAATGTATCAAGTCCATTTCTGGTGTCCCCCGCCGTGATATTGCTGGAATATTGCTAAAGGTGGCGTAAAACTAAACTCTCTCTCTCTCTCGTATCCCTATTGCGTTGACCGATACTCATGATGTTGAACACTGGATTGTCTGGTCCAGACTCGATTATTTACATACCGCAGCTATATAGATGGAATATAGTTGAGTGGAGCGTTAAACGACGAGAGGTCAAGGGTAATAGGCACAACAAGCCTTTCTGGTGGCTAAAGTGAGTGAGTGAGTGAATGAATGTTGTTTGACACTACAACAGTGCTCGACACTACAACAGTGCTCGACACTACAACAGTGTTCGACACCACAACAGTGTTCGACACCACAACAGTGTTCGACACCACAACAGTGTTCAATGTCTGTTAATATTCCAGTCACGGTAACACAAGTCAATGAAGCATGCGCGCGCGCGCACGCACGCACACACACACACACACGCCGTTTCCTAATGTCTATTATTAACAAAAAAATCGTGACGAAGACCTTATTACTCCGGACCAAGTCCCTGGGATAAGTACGGGCCGCATTAACGGGGATTTCTTGTAGATGTTGTATCGATCGCAAGTTTCGATCGGAGAGATTCCATACCTCTTCGGTTTTCGTTATTCGTTTTTCGAATAGCGTGCTAGCAGCGGGTTCGTTATTCAAACGCTGTACATGAAACATCTACAGTGGTGTGGTCATATACACTGATACCCATGTAATGAAAGACAGCAGGTTCCTTTTACATGTGCACTACTGTGCAAGAGCTGTTTAGTTATTCAGGACCTATGAATTACGAAAAAATAGCCGTTATTCAATTTATAACCATCAATTCTATCGAAATATATACATAAGTCATTTGAATGGTTTACAGTGATTGTTTACATAAAGTGCTTGAATAACGAATCCGCTGCTGGCATGTTTTCGTTATTCGAGGACAAATAACGAAAATAGGAAAAACAATTGGAAATACTGTGTCTAATATTTGTTGTCCCAAGAGTAACTAATCAGGGAATAATTAGATTTTTTTTCATTATTCAGAAGTACTCAATTTAACAGTTGTTTGGAGATAGACTATAGATTGTCATAGAGTTGATGGACATTCACTGAATAACGAACCCGGTCGTGGTATTTTTTTGTGTTATTCGGAAGTGCTGAATTAATAAACCGTTGTTGGGATATCTATAGACGATCTTATATTTAATAGAACTGATGGGCATAGAGTGAACAACAAACCCGCTGCTAGCTGCTATATTCTAAAAACGAATAACGAAAAACGCACTCGCTTCTAGCACGTTATTCGTTATTTGAAAAACGACTAACGAAACGCCAATCCGCTGGGATTTAGGTATCTAATACTTATCATTCCATGTCTGAATAACAAACCCGATGCTGGCTAGCTTTTATCTTATATCTTATATTTAATAGAACTGAGGGATAGAGTGAATAGCGAACCCACCTCTAGCACATTATTCGTTATTCGAAAAACGAATAACGAACCCGCTGCTAAAACGTTATTCATTATTCGAAAAAACGAAAAACGGATAACGAGCCCGCTGTTAACTTCAGGCTGCTCGTGTAACGCGCGTTTCTAACGACAGGCATCAGCTACATTACCAAGTCTAGCCAGCTGGGTG